ATTATTTTAATTTGCTTGCTATTTTGTTGACAAATGTTTATGTTAGATTTTGTGCATGTGCTATCCTTAAATAGGAGACTTCGAACATATTTAGAGAATGTTTGATAATTTGGGATAAAAAAATGAGTGCATGCTTTTATTCCATAGTTCTGCTATTATAAAATGATCTAGCCAGCTTGATGAATACTTAAAATCTCTGGTTTGAGTGGATAGAAAGGATAGTTTACTATTTTTGACCCTTTTTTTCACCCTCTGATAAATTTTCGAACTTGATTTAGTTCTCTCCAATTCACAGTTTTTAGTCGTTTCTCCTGGAATATGTTTTGCATAGTTGAATGTCAAATTACAATCAGCAAAATGTCCAGACTAATGAATAAATAATGTGATCATCTTCCTATTGTATTTGCTAAATGTAAATCTGCCATTTTTTTTTCCCTCATGCTCTAGGTTGTATTCAGTTAGATTCTTTTTGTGGAAATTGTGTTGTTTGATGGGGCTCCGATTTCTTGCAGATCAGAATGGGAGTTTTGTGCCTCTGACTCTGAGCGGCAACAGGTAGCAAATAATGACTATCTTATAAAGCTTCAGATTCTGCACTGCATTTTTTGGAATTTATGAAATTTTGTGCTCATCAATTTTTTCTTTCTTTCTTTCTTTTTTTTTTTTTGGCAGCCAAGGTCGTCAACCCTTCTCCTCGTCTGGCTTTTAATGTTCTGTTTGATGCTTTCCAAATTGCGAATTGAGTTCACGTAAAGAATGTAATCCTGAAATTATTTTGACTTTTATTCTCCACCTTCTGTTCATACTATTCAGGTTTACCAGCTGGAGCTATAGCTGGGATATCAGTTGCAGGAGTAGCTGCTTTATTGTTATTTTCAGGTTGCTTATATATGGGATTACAAAGGAGGAAGAATGCACGGAAAATTCGGTTGCTGTCTACAGTACCTGAAGATCAGTCACAACAAGCTGATGGTGATTGTTTTTAATCATTATATTGCAGTATGTTATCTCATTCATGTTCATGCTTTGTTTGCTTTATTAACGTCTAGCTACTGCAGGCACCAGCTTCAAAGCACCAGATTCTGCTGCTACTCTTGCGGGCATTAGCGTTGACAAATCTGTTGAGTTCTCATACGAAGAACTTGCAAACGCAACTGATGACTTCAGCATTGCAAATAAGATTGGTCAAGGTGGGTTCGGTGCTGTCTACTATGCCGAGCTCAGAGGCGAGGTTAGTACTTCCTCAAGTTGCTGATTTAAACCCATAATGATATGTTTAGGTTTGAAAATCTCCTTTTTTTTTTCCCTGAAAAATGTTTAGCTCTGTTCCAAGTGTACCTATCCGCTGTTGAAGGATTTTTTTATCATCAGGTTTCAGTAACATAATTTTGAGATTTTGTCTCGGGTACTTATTTGCAGAAAGCGGCTATAAAGAAAATGGATATGGAAGCTAGCAAAGAATTTCTTGCTGAGCTGAATGTTTTGACACGTGTTCATCACCTCAACCTGGTACCGCATCGTACTTCTTCATTGTAATTGCTCTTTCGAGTGAATTCACTAACCTCCCCTGATCATAAAGTATAGCAGAGAATGAATTTGTTATTGTTGAATCTGTTTAAACATCGGGAAAATTTTCAATAAGAGGAAAGCAATCAACAATTGAGCCTACATTGAATTCTGTTCATCGTTTAATATGGATAAATACTTGGTATGAACATTTTTCATGTTATTTATGCATTCCTTGCTCATTGTTGGAAAGACTGATGACTTCTCAAGCAACTACTACTTTTCTTTTATATAACTTTGATGTTATAAAGCAGCTCTATCATAGTCCACTTATGATTAATCTTGTTGGGCTTTCTATGTTCTCATGCATTCTTATTTTAGGTGCGCTTGATTGGATATTGTGTCCAGAGCTCACTTTTTCTTGTGTATGAATACATCGAGAATGGAAATTTAAGTCAACATCTCAGAGGTTCAGGTGTGCTCAGTTCAAATGCATAAGTTGCACAAAATAAACAGTATGGAAAGAAAAAAATTATGTAATTTTTTTTTGCAGGAAGGGAACCACTGCCATGGTCAACCAGGGTACAAATTGCTCTAGACTCAGCGCGAGGCCTTGAATATATTCACGAACACACTGTTCCAGTTTACATCCATCGTGATATCAAGTCAGCAAATATTTTGATAGACAAGAATTTCCATGGGAAGGTTGTATCGGAGCCTAGTAGAACTTGCAGTTGAAATCTAAAATTTATTTTCCCAACTTGAGTTTGTAACTTATTCTGCAGGTAGCAGACTTTGGTTTGACGAAACTAACTGAAGTTGGAAATAGTTCGCTGCCAACTGGCCGACTTGTGGGTACATTTGGTTACATGCCTCCTGAGTAAGTGATGAATTATATTTATAGAACCAATTGTAGATTTATTTGAACAATTTCACATGACGACGTGTATTAACCAAGATACTTCTCCACTGAAATGTTTTGAACTCCATTGGTTTTGGTTGCCTCATCGTAAATTTCTTTTCACGATTCTTCTTGCAGGTATGCACAGTACGGTGATGTTTCTCCTAAAGTCGATGTGTTTGCTTTCGGTGTTGTCCTTTACGAGTTGATCTCAGCTAAGGAAGCCATAGTCAAGGACAACAGTTCTGGCGTTGACTCGAGGGGCCTTGTTGCTTTAGTAAGCACCTCTCACTTATAGATCACCTTTTCTTCATTTGCTGGGTTCTTGACAAATTGTTGTTAATATTCTTTTTTTTTTCTTAGTTTGAAGACGCGTTTAGCAAGCCCGACGAGACCGAAGAACTGATCAAGCTGGTCGACCCTCGCCTCGGAGATAATTACCCCCTTGACTCAGTCCTAAAGGTCAGTTTATTCTTTTTTTACCCATCTCGATTCATATCTTCTTGGGTAAACATAAATTACTATGGGTAATTATCTCAATTTATATTCAAAATCCAACTCAACATTATTGTCCTCAATATTATTAATATAATTAAATAATATTAATCAGTCATTTTTACACATTACATCAACTTTAATTGACCATTCATTCACTCACATAATTTTAACTAATCATTATTTCACACCATCTCTCTTCTACTTTTACATCAAAACAACTTTAATTATTTTATTTTTAATTTTTTTATAATATAAACTAAAAAATCTCACTAACAATTAACAACAACAACAACAACAACAACAACATACCCAGTATATTCCCAACAGGTTGGGGTCTGGGGGGTCAGTTGTACGCAGACCTTACCCTTGTAATTATACAAGGAGGCTGTTTCCTTAGCGACCCAAGGTGCATTGCGTCGTTTGATATATTTTTTTCTAGAAACTTCACTAATAGAAGAAGCACTAGAATTTAATTGAGCCATTTTGATCTAGTCCATTATTAGCACTATGCCAAGATATTAACATCAATGGAGGAGAGATTTACACAAGTTTTACAGAGAGAAAGAGAGGGGAGATGAACGACTGTTTGTGTTCTGAGAATGGAAAAATAAAACTAGGGTTACAAGAATAGGGTTAGTCTCTATTTATACTATCATGATATAACTAAAGGTGCTAGATTACAAATGACAACTCTTATGCCTAAAACATGCTGAAGGATAAAAATGTAAATAAACATATGATATTATTATCCCCCCGCAAGTTGAATGTGGATGTTATGCAGATTCAACTTGGAAATGAGGGATGTGAACAGAGGGCCTGGCAGTGGTTTGGTCAAGGCATCTGCAATTTGGTCCTTTGTGTTAATGTACTGCAAAGAGATGGAACCAGCTGCAATTTTTTCCCTTATGAGGTGGCAGTCAAGTTCTATGTGCTTGGATCTTTCATGGAATACTGGATTTGTTGCCATTGCCATTGCAGATTTGGAATCTGTACAGACAACAGCAGGAGATGAGTGTGGAATTTGAAAGTCATCAAACAAATATAAAAGCCATTGTAATTCACAAGCAGTAGAGGCAAGAGCTCTATATTTTGCTTCAGCAGAAGACCTACTAACAGTAGGCTGCTTTTTAGATTTCCAAGAAATAAGAGAGGAACCAAGAAAAACAGTAAAGCCAGTGATACTTCTTCTTGAGTCTGGGCAACCAGCCCAATCACTATCTGAGTAAGCAATAAGTTGTAAAGAAGAAGATCTGGGAAATAAAATACCTTGGCCTGTAGTACCTTTAATATACCTTAGTATCCTGTGAGCAGCTGAGAGATGTGTAGTAGTAGGTTTGCTCAAAAATTGACTTAAAACTTGAACACTATAAGCAATATCAGGTCTTGAAATAGTTAAATATAGAAGTCTGCCAATCAATCTTCTATATTCAGTTGGCTCAGTTAAAACATCAGAATCAGTGCAAGTTCTAAGTTTATTAATAGGATCCATAGGAGTATTAAAAGGTTTGCATCCTAGAAAACCAGTGTCATGTAAGATGTCAAGAGCATATTTTCTTTGACACATATTAATACCACTTGCAGAATGGGCAAATTCAAGACCTAAGATATATTTAAGCTGACCAAGATCTTTAATGGTGAAACAAGCATGTAGATGATTTTTAATAGCAGTAATGACAGATAAGTTATCACCACAAATGATCACATCATTTACATAAACTAAGAGTGCAACATAATTGGAATCTGAAGACATGGTAAATAAGGAGCTGTCAGCTAAAGACTGTTTAAAACCATATTTAATCAAACAAGAGGTCAATTTTTGAAACCATTGCCTTCATGCTTGTTTAAGGCCATAGAGGCTTTTAATCAGTTTGCAAACTCTTGTATCAGAATCATTACAATAGCCAGGGGGTGGGATCATATAAACTTCCTCATTCAAGTCCCCATGTAAGAAAGCATTATTCACATCAAGTTGGTGAATATGCCAATTTCTTATAGAAGCTAATGAAACAAGAAATCTGACTGTGGTTATTTTAGCTACAGGAGAGAAGGTGTCAAAATAGATACCATATTAACATCAATGGAGGAGAGATTTACACAAGTTTTACAGAGAGAAAGAGAGGGTAGATGAACGACTGTTTGTGTTATGAGAATGGAAAAATAAAACTAGGGTTACAAGAATAGGGTTAGTCCCTATTTATACTATCATGATATAACTAAAGGTGCTAGATTACAAATGACAACTCTTATGCCTAAAACATGCTGAAGGATAAAAATGTAAATAAACATATGATATTATTACAAGAGAACTGTCAACAATGACTCTTCCAGCTCCATTTGCAATGGACAATCACTAACAATTAAACATTCCAATTTTTCAAAATTAACTATGATTAACCAGAAAAACTCATTTCGAGCGGATATATTTGTATCCAATCACGTCCTAAACTACCGTTGAGGTACTCTATGAACCCTCAAAGCTCAAACCGTTGCAACAAACAGTAACTCGTAATTTGTGAATTTATAACACGACTGAACTTAAACGGCAACTTTTGTAGATTTGCTGCCCTCTCACTTATCGTGTTATAAATTACGTGTCGTCGTGCAAGCCCTCGGCAACTTTTGTAGATTTTGTAGACCGAATTCATAACACGACTGTACAAGCCCTCTCACTTATCGGTTATTATTATTATTATAGGTGGCACAATTGGCGAGGGCTTGTACTCATGAGGATCCTCAACTGCGGCCGAGCATGAGATCGATTGTGGTGGCATTGATGACTCTATCGTCCTCGACCGAGGATTGGGATGTCGGCTCTTTCTACGGGAATCGGGGCCTTTTAAATCTAATGTCCGGTAGGTAGCAAGCACCACAAAATTAAAGTTCGAGCTTGTGTGGGCCCACTCGGAATATTCATCTCCTTTGACACGTGTCAGACTACTAGGTGATGTACGGATGTGTAGTGTACGAAGTACAGTACAATTAATACAGTGTGTATGTATGTAATGTAATGTAGTATAGTATATATATTTATGGTACGAGTTTATTTTGCTAGCTTGTTTGTTACTTACTTTTGTTTCGGTTTGTACGTGGTCTTACATTTTTTTTTTTTTTTTTATTCATAAGAAGAAGTTTAATGATAAATAAGTTGACTGTTATGATAAGTGGAATTTACCACTAATTACAATCTTATCATGTGAATTATTATTATATGTATTGAAGTGTGTGCCAAAACCCTTAGAATTTGTCTATAAAAGGGCCAAAAGGATTGTAATTTTGGGTAAGGAAGAAGTGAAAGAAAGAAAGCATCGTATAATTTGTATTCGGTTTTTACATTGTGTTCTTTATCTTCCCCACATTTTATAACACGTTATCAGCACAAGCGCTCTACCCAATCAGAAAGGTAGGTATATAATAATAATAATATATATATGTATTACATAAAGTTAGTATATTTCACTAATATACATATTATCATTATTCTTGACAAGTTAGGCTCTGCCACAGTCAAGTCAAGGATATGTGGTATGAATATACTAAATATGAATATATTACCATTATTCTTGACAAGTTAGGCTCTGCCACAGTCAAGGATATGTGGTATGAATATACTAAATATGAATATATTATTATTATTATTCTTTACAAGTTAGGCTCTGTCACAGTCAAGGATATGTGTATACTAAATATGATATTATCTACATTACCATTATTATTGGCAAATTAGGCTATGCAATAGTCAATAATATGTGGTAATCTGATATTATTAAATTTGCTTATGAATTATTATTCAAGTTATAATAAATAATATTATTACTTATACTTAACACCCACAAAATGGTTTACCCAGTAATGTGGCGTGAAATATATAACTGTTTATTCTTGTACCCACCGAAAGAATTTATCGAGTAGTGTGGAGTGACATTTTTATTTGCTTTGTTATTTATATTCATTAAACTGTTTACGTAATGACTCGGAGAATTTTTAAGGTAATATACATGATTAATTAGAATTTTATAATCATAAGTAATTAACGAACAAATATTATATCATTAATTTGTTTCCAACGGCTACTTAACGGCTATATTGCAACCACTGTTCTAAAAATCAGCCTAGGCGGCCGCCTAGGCGGCGCCTAGGCGCTAGGCGGTGCCCGGGCGCCTCCGATTTGCACAAATCGACA